GTGCGTGCTCTTCTGAGGCCAATAGAGGCAATAACTCTGGATTCAGGTTCTTCTGGTCTTTTGACTCCTAGAAATAAATAGTTTTTAAAAATCAGTAAAAGGGACACAGATCTGATAGTCCATTAGATGATAAAAATGTCAATTATTCCCAAAGGCTCATGACAGAAAGTGGGGCTAGGCAGCAAAGCACCCACCACACAGTGACTAGAGGATATAAAAGTCATTGTTATTAGACAAATCTGTGAAATGGTGAAGAGCAAGAGCAGAGATCTGGGGCACTGGGTGTCCCAATCTGGTGCCATTTTGTATCCACTGGGTTTCTGGTTCTTGGGGAGCAGGCTTACAGAGGTGAGTCTCCCACTGGGGTTGGGTGTGGATCTCTGCCCGGCTCTTGCTCTTCAGCTGACCCTCTCCTTCGCAGTAGGTGACACAGCAGCGGCAGGCTGCAGAGGGCTTCCCCCGGTGTTTGGACATTGTGCCCGAGGCTGCAGGGGCCCCTGAAGGCGTCTCTGAGCTCTGCAGTTCTGGGGCCTCTTTTAAACGATTTCTTCTCCTCTGAACATGGTCCAGACTGATGTCAGACTGAGAAGAGCAGCTTTCATTCCAGCCAGAACTGGCACTCAGACTTCTCAGGGGAAGAGCCAAGCGCAAGGCCTTCCAGAATTTGGAGCCAGAGTGTTTGGACTTTTCTCCCTTCCAGCTCACAAAAGACACAGACTCCTTCAGCTGCAGGATGCCTGGGTGTGGGCGCTCAAGGGGACGGTACTCAACCACGATGAGCTTGGTGGCAATGGAGTTCTGGCACATGACCCCCAGTTTGAACTCCAGCATGCTGATGCTCTTTTCTGTCACGTAGTCTGGGCTCAGGACAACAATCATTCTCCGGCTCCTCTGAATGAAATCAAAAACTGCTTCCACTGTATCTACAGGAAAATGAAAAAACAGCATAACAGCTAGTGAAAACTTCTCTATAGTCCAGGTCAGCACCATTGAACCTAAAAAGGACAGTCAATGAAGAAACGTGAGAATACAGGGTCTGAGTGCTAGATAACCCACATACTCAAAACAAGAATCTAGGCTGGAGATGTAACTCAGCAGCACAGTGCCTGCCTGGCAAGCATGAGGCCCTGAATTCGATTCCCAGTGGCTCCCCCTCGAAATCAAGAAATCTCACCAACACCAACCTTTCTCGTAGTTGCAAGGAATTTGCTACCTGCAAAAATGAGGAGGGATTTCAGCTGTCTTTGCCCCCACCTGCAAAACCTCATGTCAGCAATCCCCTTCTTGAACAAAGCCTTCCTTTAACCTCAAAAATCAATCAATAAAATTGGTATTTAAATCAATCAGCTCTAAAACCAGCTACTTCTGTTTTGTGTTGAAATCTTCATTTCTGCAGGTTTTACCTGATGTCACACACCTGTCTCGCAAGGTTTGCAATGTTTGACAGCAGTTGTGATGTTGCTGTGCTTTCTCCTTACTGATGGAATATATATGTTCAGAATTTTTCTCTTATTCCATCCATAATGTAATTTAAATTCTCCTCCCTACTGTTATAATTTTCTTCCCAGGAATATTTTGTTTATATATGTGTCTTCTAAGAATATTTGAATAGCAATGGCACTGACATTATCGGTCAGCAAAGTACAGTAGAAATTACAGCCTTCTGAGATCCTCAGTTAAGTATTTCCTTTGTCATTTCACTTTGGGACATAACATTGACCTTATTGGAAGTAAAGTCTTCCTTCCTTCCTTCCTTCCTTCCTTCCTTCCTTCCTTCCTTCCTTCCTCCCTCCTTCCCTCCCTCCCTTCCTTCTTTTCCTTCCTTTCCTTCCCTCTTTGTCCTTTCATGCGCACGTATGAGTGTTTGTGTGTGCTGCATAAAGAACCGGCCAGAAATCAGACACAAAACAACAAAGGGTATGAATCAGTGAGATTTAAGAACTCAGATAATGTGATTATCTGAGGGACAGATCTTTCACATGTGTAAATCATCACTCTAACACCCTAAAACAGGCTCTAGAGACAAACTTCACTTGTACTTACACTGCGGACACACTTTCAGCTTGGGATGACAATGTGAGGGTTTGTGGTGAGTTTGATCATTATGAACTTGAGAGAGAACGAGGGCGCTATGACCCTTCTCAAATTAGTTGTTTCCAATCAGAGAATTTAACATGAATTTGAATACAAATTGGAAAAGATGTCAGTTTTCAAGAACATTTGATTAGCTTGACCAGAATGCAAAGGTATTTTAGAGCATTTTTGTTTTGAAACTGCAAGATAAATTTAACTTTTCACTTCTCTTCAAAACCTGTGTGTATACTCTCATCTTCAAGTTCGCGTGTGTGTTCTGGTCACTTCTTTGACCCCTCCAGTCCTACTCAGAATTTTATGAAGCTGCTTGTCTAATAAAATGGAGAATATAAGAATGGAAAGCCTTCTATTTCCCCTGGCTCATAAACACACAACATGGCTAGCTTTTAACACAGAGATTTTGTACACATTCCATGAGTGTGTGTTGTGGGGGGAGAGCAGGATATGTCTGCTGTGTATTTCCTCAAAACACAGAACTCAATTTAGAAAGAATATATATTCTTTTCAGTAGAGTTATGATGATTGAAAATAAAATACTTTCTTAGAACTAAAACTTTTGCCTTTAGAGCTTGTTGCTGTCTAAAAATTTGTCATGTTTCCAGAAAGTAGAGGATTTACATTTGAAGGAAGACAACAGTAAACACAGAAAGGAGTGGCAGAATTCCAGAGGAGAAGGAAAGCAGAGATGCTTCTCAGAGGAGGCTTCGCATATGCCTAGGGCTCCTCACTTGTTATTTTAAAGGAAGCTACTGCCTTTATGGCAGAATTTTAAAATAACTTCCATACTGTCAAAACTTTCTATTTGAAATTGGCAGTTATTAGCATTTCTTAACCCTAACTAGTATTTGGAGAGGGAGTAGTAAGTTAGATTGTTTATTCTGCTTACCTCAAAACAATGAGTTACAGCAGTGCAATAATCCGGTCAATACTCTTTTGCAGCATTAAGTTGATTTTGAAGTCATAGTAGGAGTGGAGAACTGTGTAATACTCAGGGACACAATGACATCTTTAAAAGTCATAATCTTCCTGGAATTCACTTAGGATAAGTTATGGCTGTAATTTTATTGTCTAGGATACTGGTGGGAGAAAGAACAGCAAGCCTCACCCACACCCCATCTTTCCCCTCCCTCCCTTTCTTTCTCTCTTCTTTCTCTCCTTTAAAACTTGAAGTGTAATAAAAAGTGAGCACCTAATCTGGAAGATAGATCTAAATTAAAATCTCAGTTTCTCTATTATCTGTGTTTTTATTTTAATATCTTTCAGTTTGAGTTCAATCATTTACAAAGTGCATTTCATAATAGACTTCTAGGGCTGTGAAATGAATTGGATATCTATATGTAAATGTGTAGCACGCAGCAAACATCTGAATAAATAATTTGGCTAAATTATTATTGCTAAATGTCTAGAGAGCATCATTTTAAATAATATATATTAATGTGTATTCAATTTGTATCAACTCCTGATACTAACTTTAGAACTTCACCTTATATGAATTTTGGAGAAAAGCAGGATTTAAAAATGTCTGCGTATTTTGTTGAAAATGGACACAGATGTTTAAAAAAATTGCTGAAGTAGTGTCCGACATGATTATGAAAGTTACATCTCTGGTGTAGAAACAGAAAAACAAGATAGACTAGTTGTTAAATGTGTCTCTCATGCAATACTGTGAATCTACTTGTGTGAAAGACTCCGTGGCATCAGTAAATGATTGAAGAAAATATCTTGCAACTTTTATCAAGGTCAGTAATAGCTTGGTGGACAATGGTAACAAAATGTTGATGCTGAATCTTCTGAATAGTCAATACTTTGTCCAAGCAGGTCATATAATATTTTCAGGGTTGAAAGTATCGGAAGACTCATCACCATTTACCCAATACAAAAAGGTCATAAATAAAATCTAATGAGCCCATCAAGCCTCTGGTTGTATCTCTTGTAATGGGAGATTGAGAATGTCTGAGAATAGTGAATTCTATTACTGTTCAACTATTTTACAGTTGTTTCTTAATTGAACAGATATCTGCTCGTTTGTAACTTTGACTGATTGATCCTAACTCAAACCACTGGGAACTGCTTGGCAAGAGGAAAGTACTTCAGTAGGAAATTTTTTTTATTAAATTAACCAGCTCAGAGGATGTTACAGGGACTCAGTAAATATTCTTTGAAGAAATGGATAAATAGAGATTTTTCTAAAAGCAAGGACTCAACCTTATCTGTAAGGGCTCCATATTATTAACCCAAAAGGAAATGCATTCCAAATGTTTTTGAATGATTTATTTATTTGAAGTTTTATAGGAATGCATCTCTAATTCAAATTATCACATATTAATGCAGAGCATTAATTTCTTGATCTCCTTCCAGAGCAACTGTCTTGGGGTTACATTAAAGGCTAAAAGAGAAAAGATTCATATAATCTAGTCATGTTCCACACTGCACCAAATGGAGTAAATTTGTGTTCCTTTATTAAAGGAATCGCTCCTCTTCCTCTGTCTATATCTGCCTCTATACACACATACACACATGCAGACATACACACACACAAATATCCTAGTACACTTAATTCTTTTGATAATATGTAAAGCAAATATTCTTGATAAGAATTTGCCCCCTTTCTCTGATTTCTCTCATAAAGAATCTGAACTATTGAAACTTATTTCATTTCCTTTTGTAAGTACAAGCTTTTATTTTTTATTCTCATTTGTGTACCCAAACATGAAAATAAAGACATAAACACATGCACAAAATAAAATTCAAAGCTGAAAATAAATGGTTTATTTTAAAAATATGTAAATTTACACATCAAATGAAAAACAAAAAATACAAAATTCATGGATAAAATTAAAAAGATAACCTTAACACATTAAAAGTATCAAAAGAAAAATGGGTAAATAACAGGTGGAGTAATCATGTTTCCCAATACAATGGAATGTTTTTTATTAGAATACTAGGGAGTCATCTAAGTTACAGTACAAAAGAGAATTCAATAAACTGTGATCATATAATTAGACACTCTATGTAGCGTGGCTCTTTGTTATCCTGGGTGCAGAAGATCCTTACAGCATAGATTTAAAACCATTAGTTTCCTTTAAATTAAGAGACATGATTTATTCTTGCTTCCTAAATTATAAATATGTATCCCCATCACTCTCAAATAATCTTTACTGGGCATTTTATGAAATATAAAAAACAAAAAACCAAAAACTGGAAACTAAGTTCTCTTAGGATGAGACACATTACTTAGAGTTGACAGGCTCTAATTATAGCATTTGGAAAAGCTCAGTACCAGACAGAGTAATATAAATAGAAAAAAATTAAGTAATTTCTAGGAGCACCCAACAGGATTTGGGGTAAATATGGAATGGAAAAGTGCAAAAGGAATGCAGCATAACAAAAGAATAACCCCCAAGTCGTGAGACTATCCCTTGTTTACCTAAAGCTCATGCAAAAAAAAAAAAAAAAAATGATGTTGAAATCTTATCTGGAGTCAATTCTCCTCTGGTATTGTGATTAGAGTTAGTAGGAGGAATAACAGCGACTTGCAATAAAGAAAAGCATTAATAAATCTAAATATAATGGTTTGAAGAAGGACTCTGTATCCATACTTTTTGTCAAGATTTCAGAGGGGAAACTTTTTTTCATTTTAAAATCATCAATAAAGCATATAGAGAAATGGTTTATTAAGGTCTCTAACACTGTCGAAGGATAATAAAATACAGAACATAATTTTAGAGTTGCTTATTCACATTTATACTACTGAGATAAGAGCTTTCCTTAACCTGTGGATTATTGTGCTTCCTGAGGTACTCAGACACAATTATAGGTATATTTATTCTTCTGTATTATTCAACAGTTCCCATAACTGAGCACTGAGATTAACATAGCTTGGTTTCTCAATGTATCTGCTGGGAATATTATAGAAAATCAGTTAATACCAGAAGACCGTCTAGAGTTTAGGAACGAGACTGTGGTTGAGCAGTGCGCAACTGCACCAGATCAAGCGCAGGCGGTAGTAAGTTATTACGCTAATCTAAATAAGGCCGGAACTAACGGCAGCTACCACTCTCCGAGCTGGGAGCTCACAAATATTAATGAACTGAAAATACCGACACAGACACATAATGGCACAAACAATTGAAAAACTACACAAAAGTTCTAGTGGTTCGTAATACTGTTCCAATGATCATGATATATATCGTACACATAGATAATTCATGTGCATAGAGAGAAACACACATACATACATACCAATTATGGATATTTATATCCACACACCCATATATAAATTTTATCTGCATGAATATGTGTGTATGTGCATTCTACATGTACCACAGATATTCACTATTCTGTAAACCCTGCACTTAGATCTGATGTTTCCAAATCTGGCATATAGTAAGATTTCACTTAAAAGCAAGTTAAATTGATGGTAACCTTTTAGGTGGACTTATTTGGAATAAAGCATTACCTTGTAGTGGTGATTAAATTACGGGAAGGACAATTAATTATTTTAGAATATTAATGCTGTGAGCACCTCTCAAGGTCACTGAATCTACCCGCTAAAATTTGTAATAAAGGGACACAAACAAATGAGGAGAAATCACTGTTCTAATTTTCACATTAGCGAGGCTAGGATTAAAAAACAAATTGCCCAGCATCCTCTTCTGTGCTTTTTCCAAAAGTCAAAAAGGCCCTAAAAGCATTTTGCTGCTGTCTTGCTGTCCATTAGCACCATTAGGGGTTTCCTCTCAGACTGCACCAAGTGCAGGGCCACCTGCAACATCTGTTTCGCTTTGATTTTTACCTGCAGACTACGAATGACTGATGTAAGTACTTAGGAGTTAGACGCAGGAATGTAATTCCATCTGTAGATAACTCGGAATTGACTATAACAAAACAAAAAGTATGGCCTGCGTTTTCAAGTTTACAAGCATGATGTTAAGTACCTGAGCTGAGGGACAATGTGGAATAACAGGAGGAGATCTAGCATGTTCTTAAATCAATCACAAGGAACATTTTTACTTACACTGTTTCCTACCACCCTAAGTGGGTGTGATCCTTGCAGGGGTGGATAGCCAAATGAGCAAACTCATCCTCAGCTAAAATGAATTTATGCCCTGATTACATTTTAAATGTTTTAATGGATAAGTAAAAAAGTAAAAGAAAAACCTGTATTCATAGTACTCCTGATAACAGGTAACGTATCTTCAGAGGATCTTTAAATCTATGGGCAAGGTTGCTCCATAATGTTAACATGAAAGAGGGGAGGGAGAGGGCGTGGGAGAGAAAGGGGGAGGGAGGGGAGGGGCAGAGAAGAGGAGGGGGAGGGGGAAATTCACATCAACCAGGTCTCTGCCTGCAAGAAACATATGTAGTGACATCAGACACTGGTGACAACCTGTTGACAGTATCATTCTAAACCTTTGTATTGCCTGAGAAACAGAACAACCAGCCATACAGTCACCCTGAATTTATCCCCATGAGGAGGCTTAGACAGAATATTTTTCTGCCTATTAAACCAAGAACTGGCAGTGATGAGAGGGAAGCTCTTCCTTCCAGGAGTACCCTTTGTTCTTTTCGTTCCTTTCATTTCCCTTTCATACATTTTTCAAGGATGAATAGGAAAGACCCTGCTTGTCACTGCTAGAGCGCCTGGGGCTTTTCTTCACTGGCATGGCCACCTGCAGCTGCTTCCAGAACCTGCCCTGTGGATACTTGGATTTCTCCCCTTTCCATTTAATGACTGTGAGCACCGTCTTAGCCCTCTTCAGCTCTTTCACCTTCGTCTCCTTCACAGCTTTGTACTGTACTAAAATGACGTTGATGTTGCCCCGAGAGGCCATATTTTCTAGGCCAGCCTTGAACTCCAGGAGGGCTTGGGTTCCCTGGAGCACGTAGTTGGGGCTTAGGACAACCAGGAGGCGTCTGCTTTTCTGAATGAAGCTCAAGGTCTCGTCTGTGACAACTGGGAAAGAAAACACCACGGGGATTAGTGTCGGCCAAGAACTCTTCAAAAGCACAGGGCTGGAGGAGCAAATGTAGGGGACTTCAGGTGACAGCCTGAGAAGTGAGGTAATTTTTTTTTTTTTACCAGCAACATTTTTAACGGCTTTTTCCTCCTGTCCACTAACCGCCATGCTGTCCGGTAACTGCCATTTCCCTAAGGGAAAAATGGAAACTGCACATACACGTACTGTCCTCCCCAGAGAATTCCAAACAAGCACAAGACTGTGACCTCAGTCTTCTAAAGTATTATCTGAGCCACATGGGATGTGTTGTCCTAAAACAGTTTCTTCAGACAATGTGGCATATCACGGCCCAGTATTAGTTTTGAGCCCGTCTTCCCCCACAAGACACCAATGAACAGACTCTCCAGTATGGAAAACATTCATAAAGTTACATATTACACAAGCAAAATCATAAAATTTCATATTTTGTTTTCCTAACACAAGACAAGAAGAGCAGAATTTTCACGTTTTGAAAGTCCCACTGTATTGCTGGACATCGCCCAGACTCTGCTATCACTATGTCTTGGAATAGGAACTTTAAAACTTCTAGCCAATCGGATAAAACTTCAACTAGCAATATATTCCCAACGGTGGTTCTACCTCTCTTTGCTCTAGACACCATATGTGTTCCTAGATCTTTCTCTATACAGTCCCTTCATTTTTGTGGAGCCATGTGCTTCAGCAGCTGCCAGCTGACGCTTCTGCTTTCACAAACTGGCAAATACTTTCTCCAAGTAATAAAAAGTAGGAAAATGAAAACGCGGTATAATTTTATCCCACTGTCAGGGCTCTGATTAATTCCCGTCACTAAATTCTTCAGACTAATCTCTCTTTACAGATGCTTAGCAAGGACTGTATAATCCTCTACATGGGTTAGAGATACTGCCAACTCCAGGTAATGCTGGCTTTGTGAGCCCTGTATCAACACTGGACACTCCCCAGGCAGTCATTTCAATTCTTAATCTTCACAGGTACCAAAAGTTTGCAATTAAAATCTAACATGTGCAACATGGAAGAGAATCCAGGAATAAGACAGTATCTACTCCAAGCAGCTTCACTGGAGGCTGAGCATGTGCTGTAGGCGTGGAAAAAGACCCAGAGGCAAAGTAGATTTAGGAAGAGAAGCAGGGAGAATCCAAAGTGATCCAAGAGCCACCCACTAAAAGCAAGATGCAAGAGGAATTAGCAGAGCTTGAGTTCCTCAAAGAACTATTAAATCTTACTGGAGATTCTTAACTAGTTAGGTAGAGTTTATCTTTCTTTAACACTTCATATAGTATTTAAGTAACTGTGGAATGGCTATATGGGTGAATAAATGAATGAATAAGTGGTGTGATGAATTATGTATTAAAATGAGTGAAATTTATCCCTTAACTATAATGAAGTCATCATTTCCTGGCAAATTTAGCTTAAAGCAGATGCTTCCTATAGGACACAAATATGATGAACTTGGAAATATGATGCCTGGAAAGATAATGTAACTCATCCATTCAACTCAATGGAGAGTACAATTTTAAGTCTTTGTCTCAATTATCTACATAATGTTCTTTCAAAACCACATAAACAAATGACTAATGTAAACAGGATTTTTGAGGAAGCAAATGAGTTTGTCATGCTTAAGATCAGAGACACTACATAAATTTCAAAGGTAAGAAGTTTCATAGCAGGCTTATAAATTTTACTTATTTAAAAAGACTCGAATCACTTAGGGTGTCACCCTTTGAACTTGATGATATATATTTTTGTTTTAAAATATCCAGCAATTGAAGCTTTTCTTTTTCATACCTAGAATATACTGGCCTTATACAATTTTACACCACAGCTCCAATTAATAATTGGTAGAAGCAGGATGCAGAACTAAGGAAAAGGAGAATGTGAATAGTCTTACTTTGCCAGAAAAAAAAGGGAAGGAAATGCACAAATGATGAAGGGAAATATCCTAACTATTACCAGTGATGTACTCTCTCCTGCAAATCAATTTTAATAAAACTGAGTAAACTTCAGGTTGCAAAAGAAACCTATTTTGTAAATTTAGTCTTTGTAAAAAGGAAATTCTAAGCCAACCAAAGGGGATCAACTTAAACCTAAAATTCTAAATGTGACCAAACAGAATTTTGAAAGTTGTGGTACCTGGGCAGAGCTCTAATACACCCTGTACCCAGTTTTCTGATAAGGTGTTCTTAAAAATTACGAGGGCAAATATTCTGAAACCATAAGTTGGACTGAATAGTATACATACTATAATGTGGTTCTAATTCTAAAGAAATCTCTATTCCTTTAAAAACTGCATATTAAATATCCAAAGTTGCAAATATAAGCTATGAGTCTCATATCTGATCTAAAGTTAAGGATCACCTTTGCCTTTCAGACTGGTGTCATTTGTACTCATCTGAAATACCTACTTCCTCCAGGCAGACTGTCTCGATCAAAGATGCACAGTTTGTATCCAAATTCATTCTCCAAAACTCCACGGAGGGTCAGTAAGACGAATTCTTCTTCTTCAGCATTTCTTGCATAGGATACATAAATATCATACTCCTTTCCATCTACCAAAAGGAGCACAGATCCAATATAAATTAGGAAAGTTTATTAATAGTGTTATTTTTTCTCAAATCTAACTTCTGCATATTAGACAGTTTTATTTTTTACAAGCATTAATTATGTGACAGATTCAATGTGATTTTCCACATGTGACAGTCTCCAGGCAAAACAGCTATTTGAGTTCAAATTTTATCTGTGTGCCTTTAACTGCTGACTGAATTACCTTGGGAGCTCCCTTGGGTTTGATAAAGTATACTTCATGGTGTATCTGTGCATGTCGTAAAAGTATGACTTTGAGGTCTATATCTTGGCCCTGGACCCTTCCTCTCTCTAGGGCTCTTCTCTTGTGCTTTTCCTTCTGCCCAACATGAAGCAAGCAGCTTGACTATAGCATTCCCTTCCACCCTGACGTTCCTGCCTTCGGGATAGCCAACCATGAACAGAAACCTCTGAAACCATGAGCCTAATTAAACCCATTTTCCTTTAAATTGTGATTGTCAAGCATTTTATACCAGTAACAGGAAAGCTGACCTATACAGTTCCCTAATCTAATCTCACTTAGTTGAGTCTATTGGAGAAAGAGCAAGGTTTGGCCCACTCAACTGTGAATTGCCAGAACAATGATGCTAGCATTTAATGCCATTAGAAAATCCCTACTCCCTGTCATAGTATATCCTTCAAATATATATCAGTATTATAAATCAAGTAAGACTTTTTGACAGTGTTTAAATTATACCTGAAAAGGACTACAGTTAAAATATACTTATACTCAATGGAATAATCTTTCCCCCAGTTGCCTAATTATAGAAGTCACAAGTCATTAGAAATACAGATTATTTGCCTCTTCCAAAAGCCTACTGTATTAGAATGCTTATGGGTAGACCTAATCTGTATGTTTAAATGCTTCTTTCATATTTAAGGGCAATTTTTTTTTCACTAGAGCAGTGCTTCTTAAACTAATGTGCACAGGAATCATTTGGAAATATGGCTAAAATGTAGATCCTGATTTAGTAGGGATTGGATCTAAAATTTTCCCTCTGTCACCAGATGATGCAGATACTTCTGGTTGATGGATCACTCTTGAATATAAATAGTGTGAACTTGCACTGTCCAATACAGGTACCCCAAAACATGTGTCTATTGAACACTTGAAATAGAGCTAGTGTAAACTGAGGTACAGTATAAGTACACAATAGAATATATTCTAAATTTTGAGTATTTAGTGCCAAAAGGAATGTTAAATGCCTTTCATTAACTTATAATATCAATTACATGTTGAAATAACAATATGATTATACAGAATCAAATCATTACTCTGATTTGTTTCTTTCTACTTTTTCTAATGAGGGCATTAGAAAAAATTAAATTTCTTATCTGATGTCTTAGTTACCCTTCCTCACTGCTGAGATAAAATACCCAACATTCAAAGTTCAAGGAGGAAAGGTTTATTTTGGCTCACAGTTTGTAGAGGTTCAGTCCATAACTGCCTGACTCCAAGGCAGAGTGGCATAGTAATGGGGCATCACAGAGGAGAAACATGTCATGGAGGCAGAAGAGAGCAAAAGCCTCCAAGCAGTAAGCAGCAATCAACAAGCCATGACCACAGATCTTTCCATCTCTAATATCTTACTCAGGCTACTTACCCTTAAGGCAGGTGGCACCCACACCATTAATCCTAGCTTCATACCTTGACTCAATCCCAACATAACTTTCTTAGTTCCAGTAGCACAAACCCTAGATCCAGCCACCTCCAAAAAGACCCACCTATGATCACATGAGGCTTTAAGAGGATGTCTAGACTCAAGCAATAACAAATAGCTTGCTTATTTTCTATTTGGACAATGCTATTCTAGATTAAATCACACACCGATCTACAAAAGGGTGATAATATATGTGGGAAAGATTTTGATAATAAGGGTTGAACTGAAAGGTCATCTACTTAAATCTTCCAGTTACTCTAGGTTTTATTGAGTGAACATTTTCTAAGGACAATAGAAGAGATTTACAGGAAACTTCCGTTCCTTACCTAGAATGGTTTCATCTGTTCCAAAATGAGCCCGATAAAAAAGGACCATCTCCAGCCAGTAAACGTGGTAAACAACAATAAGAATTACCACCAGCAGGACTGTGGCTCCAAAACCACATGCCAACTCCACTGTGTATCTTGGTGCTACCAAAAGAAATCATAATAAAAACAACAGCAAAACCAAATTAATTTCCATTCAGTGATCATGCTGACCCATCACTCTGCAATAGCTGGAAAAGCCAAGCAGCTGAATCATGAACCTGACCTCTGTGTGTGAACAAAGAGTTAACATGGTAGAGTTTAGGGACTATTCTTAATATTAGGTTGTGTCATATTTAGTTTTGTGTGTGTGTCTAACACCTGGCATGGAAGGTCTTTTTAACTGTGGAATGATTTTTATAGACTTCGACAATACACAAATTTAAGGAGAATCTTAATATTGAGAAGGATTTAGGAGGATATCTAACTCAATATGCCATTTGGTACTGAAATCTCAAAACTATTTTTGAATAGTGTCATTCTGTAGGCCATCTTTGGGGAAGGAGTTCCAGGAGTCCTACCTAGAGAATCCCATCATATTGGTAGAATTTTAATTGTTGGAGCAGCTGATTTGAGTAAAAATTTTAGTGAGTTTTCATTGATTTTAGTTTGCAAAGTGTCATGTCTTTTTTTTTTGGTTTTGGTTTTTTTTTTCCGGTACCGGGAACCAAACTCACGACCTTGCTCTTGCCAGGCAGGCACTGTGCCTCTGAGCTAAATCCCCAGCCCCTGCAAAGTGTCATATGGAAGGAATTTGATTTGTTTTTCTTTGTTTGCAAGTAGAATTCAAAAATCTTATTTTCTCTGGTGAAAAATGGCGGTCAACTACCAAATACTGAGCATGCTTGGCTCTGGAAGGATCCTCCATATCCACATTTTTAGGATACACATTTGAAAGATTGACTTGCAAAATCTTGTTATGTATGTATTTCCACATATAACGGCTATTTTCAAATCAAAGACACTTTAGCAGTTTTTTTTTAAACTATCAGAAAAGAGTGAGATAATTCTGATTCCACTGAAAACTGGGTATTAATTCATTATCCCTTTAAGAAAGCCTGTTACAACCAAATACTGGGCCACCTTCCTATCTCACTTACTTCTAGCTTTTCCTCTAAAACTTTAGGAAAACTTAACATCAAGGCCTTGCTCTATGGTAATTCTGGGGCAAATAGTTCTTTCCTTTTTAAGTTTTCAAGTTCACGCTCAAATATCATTACTTTGTATGCGGTTTCATAGAATAAAACTTTGTAACTTGAGCTCTGCCAGTAGAACTTTCTGTTCTTCTTGTTTATGATTTTATTACAGCATTGCTTTTATACTGTATTTGTCTGCAGGCTTGCTTTGGCACCCACTCACCCTCCTCTAAACTATATATTCATAATTTTTTTTTTTTGCTTGGTTTTTCTCCAGTACCGGGAACCGAACTCACGACCTTGCGCTTGCCAGGCAGGCGCTTTTGCCGCTGAGCTAAATCCCCAGCCCCTATATTCATAATCTTCCAAGGGGAGAATTTTTTTCTTTCATCTTACTCCTAGAACATGGAGTATTTCAAGTAACACTTCCAGATATAAGACTTTGTACTTCCGGTATATTTAAAAGAAGCCTAGTTTTACATTAGGTATCAGAAACTTCTGGTTATTGTATTAGCTGTGATAACAAAATGTCTGAATATCAAAAAGAAGCACAATATTTTTTGGATCTAAAGCAGGAGTGACTTACATTAGGTATAAATTGATTTGATAGTTACTTATTGACATCTGTTATTTTCTAGAATGGTGGATAAAACAGAAATGGGATTTAAACATTTGGAGTTAACAGTCCAAGGCAGGGAAGTAAGCAAATAAGGCCATAAATATGTTAATTTTAAATAGTTATGAATGCTAAAAATAAAGGTAATATGGTAGAGGTGACTGAGGGACAAGATTCGCCCAGTGGATGTACCTTAGGTAGAGTGGTAGGAGCACCTGCAGCAGGTGTACATGTTAAACGCAAATGTTAAGTGTCTGCTGGAACAAGACATGAAGGGTCTGACTCAGAGCTGCTATAGCTACTGAGACTCTCCCAAGTGCAGGCATCTTTTCCACAGTATGCCCGAATGTTTAATTATTGACCATATACTAGTGGGAAAACCATCTCCTTTAGAACCCTATGGAGGAAACACTGGACATCCTAGAGCTGAGCCTGACCATATCTAAAAAAAAAAAGGCAAGCTGAAGAGTTGTCAATTCATTATCTCAGACCCAGGATATTAATCCTGCCCCAGGTATAGCCTGAGACTCAGCAGTGCGAAATTATTACCAGGGACTCTTGTATGCGTTCCATGAGAAATGGTCCTTCAACATAAGAAAACTCCATTATACAATGCCAGAAGCAATGTCAGTGTAGTTACTGAGAGTTTACTGAGATCAATTTGGGTAGCTGGACTAAAAAGCATCGTGTCTCTGGAGTTTCTGAGTACGTACTATGTTAACAGCACATTGGGCTAATCCTGCTGTTATTTTCATTATCTGCTCAGTTATTTGAGCTCTGTCTGGATGGACACTTCTTTCATCTACACAAAATCAGGCAAGCGCTAGGGAAAGTCACTGGCTAGACTTACCTGAAATTTTTTTTTTTTTTTGTAAGTATCAATAGACGTCTTGCTTAATGACCAAGAGGTCCATCACCCTCATAAATTTCTCTCTACCACATTCATTTTACTACTTCCTATTTTATTTCTAATGGGGCTTTTACGTTTTGTGTCACATAGTCACATGTGTCAGATACAGACTGTATTTTGTGTAGTCATCTTAATATCAAGGAGTCTCAAGTACTATTCAACTAACTGGACTCTTAAAAAATACACCAGTCTGATTCTTCCACTCAGTTGAACTCTGTACAGGAAGTGCCACACAAGGCTTTCAGGTAAAGCGGAAACAGTGCTCCTCAGTCTACATTCTCTGTCTGCCCCGACTGGAATCCCTGGCATTATGGCACAATGATTTGACCAGACCAATAGGAGACAGGTGGTGCAGTTTGACCCAACTGGACTCCAGGAATCCTTCTCCCACTGATTTCACTATGACTCTAACTCAGGATATAGTCAAGGGCTTGCTTTTACTCCTTGAGTCAGAATTTCCTCCATTCCTTCTGCAGTTCTATAGTAAAATTTGTCTCCAAACTTTACAGATCTCTAGCCAATAACCTTTGTGCAAAATATTTCAACACTTCACCTCTAATTTCTCCCCCACTTTGAGTTATAGTTCTACAACTATCCATCTCCTTGGAAATCTAAGTTACGCATCTTCATTGCAGTAATTAGAATCTTTCTTTCTAGAATACTGAGTCTTCTAACCAAATGCCAGTTGCTTAGACTTTCAAGAGTTTCCTGTGGCTACTCAGTGCTAAATTGCAGGGATTTCCTTCTAAGTTTTGGAACTTCAGTAATGATCATCTTCCCGAATTTTAAACAAACATCACACATTATGTAAATGATAATTAACAAGACAGCTATGGCTGAGTTGACCTGGAGACTTCATTGATTTAGTTCTTTTGATTTATTTTGTTTTTTGTCTTTTTGAGACAGGGTTTCACTCTCCAGTTCAGGCTGGCCTTGAACTCACTTTATAGCCCAGGCTGACCTGGAACTTGTAGTGATCCTCCTGCCTCAACCTTCCGAGTGCTGGGATTACATCGTGCACCACCATGCCCAGTTAGACCTGGTTAATTTGGAAATAGTGTGTTAAAAGTTCTGGATTTAAGTTTTTGTGCATAGAAAAGTAATATTAGACTAGCTTTCTTTCCATAATATCTAAAATAATAGTTTTTCTTAAATTGGACAACTAAGAGCATATGACTGTGATTTTTGAGGGAAAAATACACAAGAATTATCAGCCCCATGATCATTCTGGCTTTTTGCCTCAAGATACTTCTTGGGCTATAGCACAGAAAGGAGAAAGCCAAAAGAAGACAATGGCTGCAATGAACTAAAGGAAAGAAAAATTAGAGTTCAATGCTCTTATGTTAAACTGAAGTCACTGGCCTGAGTACCAGAGAGAAAAGAACTGTACACAAAGGAACTTGAGAAATCTACGTGATGTCATCAAGACTCTTTTAGCCAGATGAAAGTCTGTGCTTATTTAGGGTGATATTCTCCAAGGCCAGTCAGAGAGTAACAAGGAGTTGAATAATTCTAAGAACATAACAACGCCTAGAGACAGCTGAACCCAGACCACTTAGAGGAACAAACTTTGTTTAGCTGCCCCGACACCTCTGAGAGGCTGTGCCTTAGAAGCAGGGGCTACAGAGAAGGGCATTTAGGACTACTCTTACAGATACATGAGCTCATGAAACAAACAGAAAGCTCTTATGTAAGGAAATCAACTAACTGGTGGGATAAAATTCAACAGTTACAAAGCCCAGACTTTCAATGATCTAACATAAATACAATTCTAGGACTAAAATAATCAGAGACAGGTGATATATTTAAAGAAATAATGACTGAATTTTTTAGTCATTAAATGGAAAACTTAAACTTGCACAACAGGAAAGGCTAATAAATAAGATAAATACAAATACAAGCCTACCTGAGGATATGGTAATTGCTCAAAACAGTGAAGAAGAAAAAAACCATCCCACAATTTGCCACAAGAATGAGAAATGAGACACTCAAGAAAGAAGTAATAACAAAAAAATTGCCCAATTCATCTTATAAATCATATCAGCCAGGAGAAAATAACATTTTCAAGAGCTAAAATAAAAAAATAAAGAAAAATTTTTCAATCAAAAATTATACATCCAGTGAAAATATAAACAAAATCACCAGAACAGCATAACGGAAAAAAAAATCTAATAAGTTGTTTTGGAAATAATGACTATCAACATGAAAAGAAAATAAAAAATTTAATTTCTACTTCACACCAATCAGTAAAAAAATAGAGGCAGCTCATAGGCCTATACAAATGGTGAAACTTCACGACTTTGAAGTATAAACCTCACCTCATCAAAAGTAAGCACTATTATATAACAAAAGTTCCAGGAAAGGAAGAAAATGGCACGTGACAGACTGGGAAGAAATATTTGCAAAATGTGTCTGATAAAGAACTGGTATCCAAGTATAATAA